CTCTGCTCACTGCGAGCTGTGCTTCTGCTGCAGACTTCAGACGGCAGTGACTTTGGCTTTGTCTACCCCTTTTCTCAAGCCATAAAGGCTGCATGTCACAGCACAGTGCTGTGCTGTGGGGCTGCTGGAGATAATGTCTGAGGCTCCAGGTGCCCACAGATGGACTCGCACCGTGTGCGCAGCACCGCTCTGTTGGAGACACTGTGCTTTATGACTTTTTTTTCCAGTGGAAAGGCCCAGGCAAAGGTGAACTCAGCCTGGGAATGTGGGGATCAGGGGAAACTGCCAGTGAAAAATTTCCATTTTCAAGGACAGTGAAAAGATACAGATTTTTTTAAGCAGTTATCATTTGTGGTACAGCCATACAGGAATTATAATCTCCAAAGACAAAGATGCTGAAACAGAAAGCACAGCTTTTCTCTTTGGAGGCATCCATACTTCCCTGGACTCCCTCAGGCTGTGGGTGCTTATCAGGAATGTTGCAGCTAAACAGGAATAGCTGAATCCTCCTTCTGTGGACACGGTCTCAGGTTCAGCACTGCACAGCATCCCTGAAGACCAGCAGGCCGAGAGGGTGCTGCGGCTGTGGGAGCACAGAACTGCTCCTGCTCCTGCTCCAGGGCTTTGCTCTGCCCTGGCAAGGTGCCTGCTGCCAGGGTGCTCGGCATTCCTGCCCCAATTCCTCGGCTGTAGAGAGCCCTGGGCTGGCAGAGGGGGTGGCATGGCACAGACACACACTGAGCTTGGGCCTGGCCAGCATCAGCCCTTTTTGGTCAGAGGAGAAGCTGGGGATGTGAGTGCTCATGTTGTGCATGGTATGGCTGCATGTCAACCAAACTCAACTGTTTGTGCTGTTACAGTTGTGTAAAAATAACAGAACAGAATGAATTGCAGGTGTGAGTTGCATGCACATGTGAAAAAAGCTCCATTAAACTTCAAACTGGAGATCAGAGTCGTGAGAGTCCTGGGACTCTGTTTTATGTGCTGATGATGAGATCCTCTGTTCAACAGCAGCCTAGGAGCCCTCTCAAGTTCTGGGAGTGTTCCTCTTATCTGCTGGTGATTCTGCAATCCCTGCAGAGCTGTGCTGGGCTGGGAATGCAGCTTGGCTCTGTGCCTCATTGGCCCTGTCCGTGACAAGGGAAGTATTTACTCGTGTTGTAGCAACAGGCAATGTGTGTATGGCCATAAAGGGGCTGACGGGGTGACTCACTGCAAGGGAACGCAGCTTGGAAACACAGATAAAAGCCCCCTTAGTGCAGCAAAGCAGGCACTGCTCTGCCCCAGATGGAGCAGCTTTGAGTTGCTACAGCAGGAGGAGCATAGGGCAGTTCAGCCCCTGGGTACCTCTGCGAGCTCCCATCAGCTCTGAGCAGGGAATGCCCCCAGGTGCTGCTTCCCAGCCCCACACAGCTGACACCGTGCCACAGAGACAGCACAGCTCCTCTGGGGCCTGGGGGTGGCTGGAGGTGGCACACTGTGTGGAGCAAGAGAAACACAGGACCATCCAGCAGGGGCTGGAGCTGAAACTTTCTGTGCACTCAGCTTGGATGAGGCTGATGGCCTGGCTCAGCACACGGCCACCACTTGCCCGTGCTGGGTGGATCTGCACTGTATACAGAGCAAGGAGGATTTTTCTTCTGTTGAGATAAAAATCTGAGAAATCTTGTCTTTGTGCCAGCTGGATTCAGGCACAGGGAACAGAGCTGGTTTGCATCTGCTGATGGGAGGGAGTGTTTGAACACCCCAATGCGGGGGATGCCAAGAGCCAGGATTTCGGACTCTCCCACTCTAAGGGTCAGTGTTTTCCCAGTAAAAATAGAGTGTTTTGAATGCCTGCTGTTAAAAATGTGCCTCATCTGGGTAAGTCACGAGTAGGGCAAAGTGTACACAGCACAGAGCTGTGCCCTCAGCAGGGATTTGCACAGCAGCCGCCTGCAAAGCTGGGGCAGTTCGGGATTGTTCTGGTGGGGCCCCACTGTCCTTGTCTGCAGGCAGACGTGCAGGGAGCACTGACTGCTGGGAGACCTGCACTGCTCTGCCTGCGTGTGCTGCAGGAGCCCCTGGGCAGTGCCTGGGGCTCAGAACTGTTTGCTCATCTTAGGGCTGTCCTGCACTCAGCTGGAGCCTGCTGTGTCAGCAGGAGTGCTGCCTGGTGCAGATGGGCCTTTAGTCAGGAAAAGTGCCCCAAATCAAACAGTGCTGGAAGCACACCGGCTGTTCTCCAGATGGTTATCTACAGATCTACAGATGGAGGAAGAGTCAGGGAGCTTCTGGGCTGGGGGTGAGGGCTGGCAGCCTGAGAACAAGGGGGGTTTGAGGGAATTTGGGTGCAACAGCAAGGCAAGTACTGCTCCCATGGTGAGGGGGATACCTCCATGCTGGTGAGGGCATTACAGATGGTGTGAATGTCACTGGGGAGTGTTGCTGGTGCAGCCCAGCCTGCTATGTTGGAAAACGCAGTTATAACAAGAGGGAAGGCAGTTACCTCTGGACAGATAGGGAGTTTTTGTGCTGGCTTCTCTTTCTGTACACATATGCTTGGGAGTTAACCAGGATTAGGATCTGGGTTTGCAGGATGTGGTCATTTCCAGCGCTGGTGCCAGGGGAGCAGGGATGCCTTTGTTCTGTCTCATTGTGTTGAGGTGGGGGAAGGAAGTGCTGCAGTTCCCAATGTTCTTGGCAGGGCAGGGTCTCCATAGGTCTTGGGGATTACTCCTGCAGGTGTTGTGCAGAATGTGGTCCTGCTGTCCTCATGGGGAACGTTGGCTCTGGGCTTTCCCAGCCCTCCTGAGAGCTGAACATTGTTCTCTCCTGAAGGGGATATCAAATGGAGAAAACACATGTGGGCTGCTTCACCTTCCAGAATTTATCTGAGGCCTGAGTGGCGATTTGGAGGAGGCAGAGCCTTGGCCGTTGAAGCTTTCTGTTTGACAGAACCCAGGAATGGGACCCTTGTTCTGGCAGAGCTGCATTGTGGTGATTTCGCTTAGCCAGGTGTTCTGTGGAAGTGATTTTCCATTGTTTACACCATTTTCTTCAAATTCCCTCTCAGTTCTGGACATTCTGTTTGTTCAAGGAGCAGTGCTGTCCTGTGCTTGGGGAGGAATGAGAAAACCACCAAAGCTGTCTGTCACATCGTGTCACAGCAGCAATGGTGCACAGGTGGGCAAACATGCAGTCCTTTCCAGCATCGCAGGAGACATCAGAAGGTCCCCAGCCACCCAAGAAAACCTGTACAGAAACATACGTGAGGCCAGTGTGCCTCTTCAGGCCCTGTCCCCAGCAGCTGTGTGACACTGGGATGTTCTGGCTTTTGACATCTGCACTGCTCATTAGCCTGCAGGCAGTTTGATGCAGCAGCTACAGCCAGCGTTGTATTTGGACCCCAGCCCTTTTCTTCTGAGGCTGCTGTCCCCAGGGCTGGCAGTAGCACCTGCGGGTCCTTCTTTCCCATGGCCTTCTTCAAGCCCCAGCCCAGTGCACTGTGCTCTGTGTGTTCCCACTGCAGGGCTGTGCCTCGTTCCTGCTGGTTCTCTGGCTGTGCTCATTGCAGCACTCCGTGCCTCTCCCTCCTAGCTCCATTGGTTAAAACAACTTGGGCATAAATTTCGGGGCTGTGTGCTGCAGCTTTGTACAGAGGTGGGCTATTTCCAGCCCGTCCTGGGAACGCAGTGGTGATTCATTGCAGCAGGGACGCACGCTATGTGCTGCTCAGATGAAAACCAATCCCACCCAGGACCTGTGCCCCTCTCTTGGCTCCAGTGCCCCTCCTGTGCACATGCCTGTCCTCTGCCACAGAGATCACAGATTTGGCTGACCCAGGGCAGTGGAGAAGCTGAATGAATTTGCCTTTAGTCCTCAGGAAAGGCAGTGTAGCTCCGCTGTGTGCATCAGGATCTGTCTCAGCCTCCTTCAGATACAGTCTTGGAAAAACACAGTGGTGAAATGGTAAAAACGCCCACATGCTGTGCCCCTGGAGATGTCTCAGCCCCACATCGTCTCCTTGCAGGACCTGGGAAAGCCTGGTCCCCAGCCAGGCTGCCACTTGCAGCCCAGTGCTGGGCGGGCACTGGGAAGTGGTAGGGAGGTGGTGGGAAACTCCGTAGGAGGTCAGGGAGGGCTCTGAGCAAGGCACAGGGGGACAAGGAGCGTGGCAGAGGGGAGCAAACCACTGCTGCCTGTCAGGGAGCTCCAGCAGCGAGCAGGATCACAGTGCACAGTGCCTGCTGAGGCAGCCAAGGCAGCAGCAGGTCAGCTTGCAGCTCACAGCCTGGCCCAGCTGAGTGCCTGCACAGCGCCATGAAAACAACGCTCGGGAAACTGAGCGCTGCTGTCAGCACTGGGCCAAACCTGCATGCCCACAGCGGACACAGCTCCTGTCCTCTCCCAGTTGCCCCATGGGGTCCCAGCCATGCAACCAGGGCTCTGCAACAGACATGAATGAGTTGCGTGGCAGGAGCCTGGAGTTTGGGTTCCTGCAGCGCAGTTGCAGCCTCCTCCGGCTGACACAAGCAGCAGTGAAGCACCAGAGCCATAACTGTAGGTGTGTAGCCATGGCATCACCGCCAGTCCATGCTGTGTCCCATAGCGTGGGATGTGGGCTCAGCACCCCACATGGAAGGGGGTCTCCACTGCAGGCCACAGGAAAATTGAGGACAGAACTGGGGGGGATGAGGCTGTGAGAGAGGGGCAGGAGATTAAGGGAAAAATCTCCCATTTCAGTGCTTGCCTCTTCTCTGCACATCCACAGCCATCAGCAGGTTTGGGATCAGCCCAGAGAGTGCAGAGCTCATAAATGTGAGCTGAAATACAGCAAAGCTGTCAGATGCAGTGGGAGAGAGCAGTAATTTATTAGGAGCTCTGACGGGGAGGACAAAACTAGGCCTGAGGCTGCCAGGTTTGTTTCACCACGAATCATCGCTGTGCTTCTGCTCAGTGCTGAGCAGGGCTGCTTGAGGTGGGTGTGTGTCTCACTGGCTCCGCTCTGTGTCTTGCAGGATGAAGTGAAGCTCCCATCCAAACTGAGCATCAGCAAGTCTCTGAAGGAAGGCGAAAAGCAGGAGAAGGAAGGTGAAGGCGAGGAGGTGCCCGCAGGTGAGGACCATGCAGAGGAGGATCACATCCAGCTCTCCTCTGATGAAGAGGTGGAGATTGAAGAGATTATTGAGGAGTCACGGGCAGAGCGCATCAAAAGGAGCGGCATGAAGAGAGTGGATGACTTTAAGAAGGCGTTCTCGAAGGAAAAAATGGAGAAGACAAAGCTGAAGACGAAGGAAAACCTGGAGAAGACCCGCCACAACCTGGAGAAGACCCGCCACAACCTGGAGAAGAGGATGAACAAGCTGGGCACCAAGATTGTGACTAATGAAAGGAGAGAGAAGATGAAGACTTCTCGAGACAAGCTGAGGAAGTCTTTTACCCCTGACCATACCATCTATGCCAGGTCCAAGACAGCCGTCTACAAAGTGCCACCCTTCACTTTCCATGTCAAGAAAATTAGAGAGGGCGAGGTGGAAGTAAAAGCCACGGAGCTGGTGGAGGTAGGTGGAGAGGAGGGGGAAAACTCGGATCTGATGCGTGGGGAGAGCCCTGAGATGCACACACTGCTGGAGATCACAGAGGAGTCTGACGCGGTACTGGTGGACAAGAGCGACAGTGAGTAGGGCAGGCAGCAGCACGGGAAGGTTGCGGATGGAAGCTGAACACGTAATCATTCACATGTTGAGATCTCTCTTTGCCCCAGTGCCTTGGGGGAAGTGTACACAGCATCTTTACTACCCTGCAGAGCCGATGCCAATCCCCTGCCTGCTAGGACAAGGTGTATTTTATATTTTAGTTTTAGCACACATAAATGTTAGGAACACAGGACTGTTTTTCTTACACTGTCAAATTACCCTTGGAGATCATTCCTGCCACAGCTGTGTGAGAGCCTTCCAGAACCCAAACCTGGAGAAGGGCTCTGAGCAATGGGGACCCAGCCCAGCTGGAGAATGCTAAAGCCAAGATGACAGCCGTACACCTGAAATGCTCAAGCGTCCTTTGTGAGCACAGACCTGGTGTCAAGAATGCCCGCCCAGCCCGCAAGGCCCCAATTCCCTGTGCCAGGCTGAGTGGCTGTCCCCGCAGACAGCAGATACCTGGGATCCAAGCTGCCACCCGAGGAGCAGAGGGTCTGCAATGCACCCAGCGTGCGGGAGGGAGGAATGGAGCACATCCTGTCAATGGGCAGAGTAATGGTGAAGCTGAGCAGCCCCACGGCACGCAGGCGGTCTGCTCCATTCTTTCCTCCCAAGGACCAGATCACTGCGGCGGAGCCACAAAACCAACCTGCTGCTGGGACTGCAGAGCCCTCACAGCCTGCGCCTGCTGCCTCACCCCAGCACTGCCATCGCGGGAGCAGTGTGGGTGCACATCCCCAGCTCGGGTTAAATCCCAGCTGCCTGAATGCTGGCTGGGCAGGGAATGTGCGGAGCTGGACGCTGCTCCCCACCTTCTGTGCGTGCCACCATCGGTGGGCAGTGAGCGCACACCGGCCAGGCAGAGGGTGGCTGTGGGTGTCTGTGCCAGAGGAGCCCACACCAGCAGTGTCGCGTTGCCAGAGGAATTTGGGATGTGCTGATGCTGTGGGAGGCACCCGGCCGCCAGTGAGCAGCCTTGACACCGGTCCGGCACCACATCTTGAGCATTTCTGAGCATCTCCTTCCTTCAGGGGTCCTGGCGCGGCTCAGGCTCGCGCCCACGTCCGGCACTTCCCTCCCCATTTCCCACTTTCCGTGGCTTTGCTCTGTCGCTGTAGGATCACACGCAGCCCCACGGCACTGCCCGGCTCAGCCCGCACTGCTCTCACGCGCAGCCCCGCACGGCAGCAGAGCAGGAGCAGGCAGGAGGCTGCGGCCCCACAGCTTCTCCTGGGAGCCGTGGGTGCACCGGGGCGGGTGGACGTGGGGGGGGGGGATGCGCCCGTCCCTCCTGCTCAGCACTGCCCTACGTGCCGCTTTCTTTCCGGCCCTGCTCCTCCCCGCGCAGCCGGGACCGCTGCTGACATAACCACGTATATAAACTTGCTTTTCCTCTCAGATCGTTCTCCCTCTCATTGTCTAACGCACCCAGCCCTCCCCACCCCGCGGCCTCGCCCTGTGCCCGTGGCTGCGCTGCGCTGCGCGCCCCGGCCCGCGGACTCCTCGCGGCGCTGCAGACCCGCGCGGTGCAGCGCAGCTGCCGGGCATCGGTCGCCCCGCGGTGCCCATCCCGGGCGCGTTGGACAAAGCTCTGATTGTTTTCTATGACTGCATCCTGGTGAGCAGCACAACTAATAAAGGCTCTTTTGTAAAGGAGCAGCATGACGCCTGCTGAGCGCCGGGCTGGGGGTGGCGGGGTGGGGAAATGGCCTTCAACCAACACGGGGTGGGTTTGGGTCAGATGGAAGGAAGGAAATCTTCTCCCGGAGGGCGGCCGTGCCCGGGCACAGGGCAGCTGCGGGCGCCCATCCCTGGGGGCGCTCAGGGCCGAGCCGGGCGGGGCCCGGGCAGCTGATCTACGGAAGACGTCCCTACGTCACGGGCCGGGGGGGGCGCCGGGCGCCGATCCCCATCGCACCGTGCGGGGTCGCTGCTGCGCTCCGACAGCGACGGGCGGGGGTACGGCCCCTTTAAGAGGCGGCGGTCGGCGGCGGGCCGCGCGCTGACGTCACGGCGCTGCCCGGAACTCAGCGGGTTTCCCGCACGGCCGTTCCCGGCAGTCGCCGCCTCCCCCCGCACCGCCCCCTGCCCAGCGCCGCCCTGCGGCGGGGAGGCGGCGCCATCCGGGAACAGCCGGCGCGGGGCAGCGCCCCCCCGCGGCGCCGGCGCGAGCCGTGACGCAGCCCCGGGACGGCCGCGCCGATTGGCCCGCAGGGCCCGACCCTCCCGGGGCGGACGGAGCGCCGCGCCGCCATTGGCTGCGCCCCGCGTGACGCGCGAGGGAGCGGGGCCGGGGGCTGCGGGCGCCGCAGTCGGGCAGTGTCCGGAGCGCCTTCGTCAGCGGCACCGGGAGCCGCCGCCCCGCCCCGCCCGGGACCGCCGGTGAGCGCGCCGCGGGGAAGCGCGGGGGCCGGGACCGGGAGGAACCGGGACCGGGAGGAACCGGGGGCAGCGGGCCGGGCCGGGCCGGGCCGGGCCTCGCCTCGGGGCGCGCTGGGCCTCAGCCCGGGGGGGTCCGCGGAGCTGCGCGTGGACGCTGGGTGCTCCGGGCTGCCCTGCGGCCGGCGGTGCCCTGGGGCGGCGCGGGCGCAGCTGCGGGCCGGGCGAGCTGCCGTCGGAGGTAATTCGGGTAACGCTCCGCTCTCGCAGCTGCCGGCGGAGTCGTCGGAGCCGTCCTTCCCTCGGCGGCCAGGGAGCTCAGAGCGGATTCCTCTCGAACCCCCGCCCCGTCCCGAGCGGAGGGCGGCTCCGTGCTGCTGCTGCTGCGAAGCCCGTTAGTGCTGGGGGCTCCCCGGATGGCTTCGCGGAGCTGGGGGAGCCCCGGCACTGACCTGGGCTGGGCGGTGCGCGGCCGCGTGCTGCTGCGGTGACCGACCCTGGCGGGGCGCCCCGCACCGGGCTGCGGGCCGAAGCTGAAGGAGCTTGTTGTGCTGAAGGAGCTGTGAGCGCAGCGCTGCGGCTTTACCCCTCTGTGTCTGTCGCTGCACGGCGCTGTCCTGCCGGGGCCTTTTCCCTGGACGCGGCTTTGGTTTGGTGCTTGACCCCGCGGCCGTGGGGCAGAGCTGTGCGGTCCTGATGTGTGGGAGTGCGGCGCTGCTGTGCCATGCGCTGCCTGCCAGAGGGCACGCAGCTGTGCGACAAGGGCTCAGGCCCTGGAAGAGCCCTTCTGTGTCCACGGGGCACGGCTGCTGCTCGGGGTTCCACATCGGAGCGGCTGGCTGAGAGCTTTCTATGCCCGGTCGCTGTTGCAGGCAGTCTCTATAGGAGGCTGTTCTGCTTCCCAGCAATATGCCAGAGCTGCTGGTGCCGTGCTGGCAGACGGCTGGCGTTTGCACCGGGCATTGCCTGCCTCAGCCGTGGCTGTGAGCGTGCAGTGGATGCTGTGTGTTGGGTGGAGCCAGAAGGTCCCAAGCCACCCAGGGGCTGCTGGCTGCAATGTGATTTGCCTGTGCTGTGGTTGTGAGGCTGCCCAGAGGCTGCCCAACGTGATCACCTTTCTTTCCTTCCTCGCATCTCTCCTTTACCTCTTCATTTCTCTATCTCCAGGGCTGTCTTCGAATGCACTCCAGAGGAGCAGAGCCAAGTTCTCTAAATAGCCACCTCACAATTCTTGTCTCTGTCCAGCACAACTGGCTGCTTTCTGGTGGAACAGTTTTTCATCATTCTGCTGCTGGCTGTGTGGGCCAGGGGGGGCACTGAGCAGTGCCTCTGCCCTGGGTGTTGGAGCTGCTGCTTTGTCCTTTGAGAGCTGGAGCACAGGTGGGCAGGTCCCAGGGGCAGGAATGTGCTGGGGGATTGCTGTTATCACAGCAGTGCTGCACTGTGGGCACCTGAGCTCCGTGCAGGTGGGGATGCAGTGTTCTCAGGGGTCTCTCCAGTGTTTCCCCTCTGCTCGCTCTTCCTTGGAAAATCGCTGCTGTTGGTGAAGCCCCTTGAAGTTGTGGCACAGGGAGATGCACTCAGGTACAACCATACATACAAGGGCCATCGTGGGGCTGTTCCCCTCAACAGCAGCGCAGCTCAGTGCAGCTGTTGGAGTGTGTGGAGCTGCGGTGACGCTGCCCGGCTCAGGCTGTCGTGCTCTGCCCTTGCAGGGAAGCTAAAGAAAGATGAACTTTAACTCCAGGGCTACTTTTAGCTGCTCTTCTCTGAGCTCTGTACAGCTTGTTTACCTCAGCGCTTGCGTCATGCTGTGCTCAGCCCTGGTCACGTCAGCTGCTCTTTGGCTCTGCTCCAGCAGTGAGAGAAGAGGCAAACCACAGAGGCAGCAAACCCGTCAGAATTGGAAGGGTTCAGCCCTCAGACTTTTTAAACCTGCCCCAGGGAGCTTCCCCGCAGCAGGATGGGCTGCAGAGGGATCTGTGTGGGATTTGGGGCTGACAGTGTGGAAGCTTTCATAATGCAGGTGACTCTGTGATCAGGGGGGTCACAGGGCCCCTTTTCCTCAAGGCAGAGCACTGGGAGGGGCGCCAGTAGTGCTGCGCTCAGGGAGGAAAATCCTCTTCTCCTTCTGGCTACTTCCCGACTCCTTGCTGCTCCCAGACATTCCCTGCCTTTCCACATCCTCCTGTGACGCTGATGGGTTGGCAGCCTCCATCAGCCGCTCAGCAGAGCCGTCCCACGTGGTGAGAGCCCACGTCGCAGCAGGTTGTCTGGGTGCTGTTCACAGCCCTCTTCCCGTGATGGTGTGGGGGGAGTTTGTCAGGTCAGGTACCTGTTGAGCTGAAGGCTGTAAAAACCCAATGTGATGTTTTGCATGTGTGCTGACATCCCTGGAGAAAAGGGCTGAAAGGGACCTCGTGGACTGGCAAGCAGTGAGCACAGCTCACAGCAGTGACCGTCCCCAAGGCTGCTGCTTCGCTCCCACGCAGTGCTGAATCCTCTGTGGTGCCTCTTACTGTACTCGTGCCTGTGTTCTGCAGCCACTTCCTTCACTGCTTTGTGTGCCTGAGCTGTGAGGAGATGCCTGCAGTGGGATGAGGCTGAGCAGCTCATGTTTCGCTTTGTGCAAGTTCTGTTTTACAGGGATGAGTGTGGCTGAGCACTCTGCAGGGCAGCTGCTCCCTGGGCTGCACACAGGAAGGTGTGTCTGCCTCCTGTCCCGGTGGGGGCTCAGATTTTACCGCTGGTGCTGTGCAGGTTTGGGTTCCAACACAGCCCAGCAAGACCCAGAGCAGAGCTTTGCTCATGGAAGATCTGCTTGGATCGGGGAAGCGCAGGGCGGGAGCTGCGGATGTCGGTGGTTTGTGGATTCTCAGCTCTTGGCCGTGCATTTGTTGCTTCATTTCCCCCTCAGAGGCAGCACCTCACGCTTCACACCGTGCTGGCAGCCTCTATAGCACCCAGCTAAAAGCAGTGAGTGCCTGTGAGAGCCCCCCGTGCTGCTGCAGCCGGACAGGCAGCCGGTGAGGGGCTGAGCCCACTGCAGGGCAGAGACCTTCGTGCTGTGCCTGGTGAGCAGCAAAGGGCCCAGCCTGTCGTGGTGCTAAAAGGAGAAGTCCTGGGGTCAAACAGAGCCTGGTCTTCCCTCGAGTCTGATGGAGCGTCTGCCCCTTTACAGGCTCCTGTTTCTCCTCCTCCCTTTCACCTATTGCTCTGTTAAAGCCAGGCTTTGTTCACGTGGTCTTCTCTAGAGATTGCACCAGAGGCTGTGGTTCAAGGTTAATGTCCTGTGGATGCTGCTGCTGCCATCTGGGCTGCGCAATGCCGTGAGGCTCTAAAAAGCAGCTGAACTCCTTGTCAGGTGCCAATGTCTGCCGGCTCTCCACATCTCATGGCGGGGCTGATTCCCCTTTTTCTCCTCTAAGAAAAACAATCCACAAACATAGAGGAAGGGTCCCGTACAACAAACGCCAGGAAAGCACAACGTTCACTCAGTGGAAATGTCGGACGGCAGAAGTCAGGGAGAGCTGCTGACTGAGCCGGTCTGTGCTGTGCGGCCGCTCTGGGGGCAGCTGTGGCACAGGGCTGTGGGTGGGCAGCAGCAGTCGAGGCCCCGGTGTCCCTTGCTGTGTGCTTTGATTCCCTGTTCCCAACCCATCCTGGAGCCCACGGGCTCTGCTCTGCTTTGCAGAAGGGGACTGAGCGCAGCGGAATCAAGCAGCGGCTGCCTCCCGCCCGACCCCTGGCAGCTCAGGGTGGGCGCTGCTCCCAGCCCCACTGCCCCCATCTTCCTCTGGGACAGCTCTGCTGTCAGCCACGTGCCAGCCCTGCACGGCCCTGCTGACGTGTCACTTGTTGTGGTTGTCTGCAAAAATCAAACCACTTTCTGGGGGAAGTGAGCCCATGCTGAGGCTCAGTGGTTCTCTGTGCCTGTGCTTCCTGCACAGCTTGCTGTCCCCTCATTAGGCTGAGTTTGATTTCTATTGATGCCGCTCACTTGAAAATTGCTCCTTCCTCGTTTCTGTTGCTTCCTGGCAGTCTCCGCCTTCCGCACTTACTGTAAGCTCTGCAGCTCCTTCCCTGCCCTTGGGAGCAGGCGCAGGGCTGACTGCAGGGCGTGCGGAAGGGACTGGCAGCAGATCAAAGCCCCGGCCTTGTTGCTGTGACCTGCGTGCCCAAGCCTCTTCCTCTTCCCCCTGGCACGAAGGTAGGAAGGCTTTGGGAAATGGTGCCTCTCTAGGAGAAAGTTTAGCCGAAGCTGGGAGCTTGGGAAGTGTTTTTTTCCAAGGAAAGCGAGGCTTTATGCCTGTGTCTGTAACAGTTCTGTGGGTTTGTACGGCCCTGAGATCCTGCACTGGAATGGGAGAGGCCGGAGCTCACAGCCAGGCACTCTGCTCTGCTCTCAGATGTTTTGGATTAACTCTGAAGGGAGGATGAGTCAGGATGCAGGCGTTCTCAGCTCCCAGCTGGGGCAGTGCAGTGGAACTTGCCCTGGTCTTGCATGCGGGTAGATTTCCAGCCTGGAGCCCTGAGCGGGTGCATGCTGACCAGTCTGCTGCCCACCATGTTTGCTGCAGGGCTCCTGAGGAGGAGGTTGGGCTGGTGCCTGGGTGCAGACGCTGTGATGTGAGCGCCGCTTTTCCCTCCTGCCCTGCAAACGTGCACCAACTCGCGCCCTTTAGTCCTTCACCTGCAGTGTGCTTTGGGTTTATGGTTCCACCTTCTCTCAGCAAGGTCCCAGTGCTGAGCTGGGAGCCACTTGTTGCAGGAGGCTTTCCTCGCTGCAGCTTGGCTGGAGCTGGAGATCAGCATCATCCCAGGGCTCATGGCAGACTGGGGGCTGCAGGGGGCTGGTCATGTCACAGTGGGGGCTGTGCTTCTGGTGACCTGTTTGTCACAGCAGGCAGTGGTGGCTGTGAGCAGAGCCTGAGCCCCACCACTGTCAGACCTCAGCTGGTGGGGTAAGCAGAAAACCTTTCTGGTGCTCAAAATGGAGGGAAGTGCATCTCCCAAAGCAAGTGGCTGTATTGCACTGGGTTCCTTGCTGAGACAGATGCGTGTCGTTTTGCTTCTGGATCGTCAACGCAGGAGAATTAGAGTCAGCTGTTGGAGCCTTGCAGCATGCTGAGCATCAGGCAGTGAGGGCAGGCAGGCACAGCCCTCTCACTGCCAGATCAGTGCAGAGCTCGGCCCTGTGGGCACAGCTCAGCACGCTGCTGCCTTGTAGACTCCCCTGTTCCCCTTCCTGGGGTCAGCCTGAGCCAAGCCGTGGGTCATGCAGGAGGGTTCAGGGGCGCCATGCTGACCTGCCTGTCCCCACAGGGTTCCGGAGCCGGCCAGGATGGCGCAGTGGAACCAACTGCAGCAGCTCGACACGCGGTACCTGGAGCAGCTCCACCAGCTTTACAGCGACAGCTTCCCCATGGAGCTGCGGCAGTTTCTGGCCCCGTGGATTGAGAGCCAGGACTGGTAAGGCGCTGCCAAGCTCTGGTAAATGGACTGTGTGTTGGACCCTCAGCTGGGGGTAGTGGCAGCTGCCAGGCAGATCTGGAGGGACTGTGGCAGCTTCTCTGTGTGCCAGGGCCTCTCTTCCTCCTCAAGATGCATGCAGTGTGAGATGGAGTGGGAGTCTGTGTGTTTGGTGTCAGACTTCAGACTAGGAGAGAGGGGAAATCCACAGCAGAGGTATCAGGGTTTACGTCGACCTCTGTTCTAAACAAGGTTGAAATTGAGGTGCTCATATGTGCTGTCTTCCAGCATCTGAAACACCTCTGTCTCCCTGCCCTTGTGGGAGCAGGGCCTGCTGTGGCTGCATCCTGGTGTAGGTTAGGCAGTCAGTGGGATGCTGGACTGTGTGTGTGGGGCAGTGGATGGCGCACGGAGCTGCCCTTCCCGCTGTGCTGTGCCTTCCCTGGGCTGGGCATAAGGACGCTGCCCTCTCCTCGTGCAGGGCATACGCTGCTAACAAGGAGTCCCACGCCACGCTGGTGTTCCACAACCTGCTGGGGGAGATCGACCAGCAGTACAGCCGCTTCCTGCAGGAGTCCAACGTCTTGTACCAGCACAACCTGCGGCGCATCAAGCAGTTCCTGCAGGTGAGGTGGGAGGCAACCATTCTGTTACTGACATGCAGCGGCCTCCTTGTCGCAGCTCACGGACCACAGCCCTAAAGCATGCAGAGATCACAGCAGTTGCAGTTTGAAGGCTAACTCTGAGGCCTTCAATGTTTTACAGAGCAGATATTTGGAGAAGCCGATGGAAATAGCCCGCATCGTGGCCCGCTGCCTGTGGGAAGAGTCACGGCTCCTCCAGACAGCTGCAACCGCAGCCCAGGTAGGTGACCCAGGTGTCCCTCTGCCCACCAGCAGCTCTGTGCAGCACTTGGTGCCGTCAGGAAGCTCTGGTCTGAAGCTTCTTGCATGTTTCTTTCAGCAACAGTAGTTCAGAGGGGTGGTCAGACTGCAGTGAAGGGCAACTGACCCTCAGCTCTCTAGGGTGCATCAGTGCTCTGTGCTGAGGTTTTCTGTTGTTGTTTAGTAAAGGGTTTAAGACTTCTTATGCAGAACCTCCTGAGGCTGGGAAGGGGCTGTCCCTGAGTTGCAGCCCTGTTCTAATGCCCTTCTTGTCCCTTCTACAGCAAGGGGGACAGGCGACACATCCAACAGCAGCTGTAGTGACAGAAAAGCAGCAGATGCTGGAGCAGCATCTGCAGGATGTAAGGAAGAGAGTGCAGGTAAGTGTGCTGCCTAGGCACCTTCTTCCCCTGGTACTTCTAGGAGCACTGTAGTGATGTTGTACTTTGAACAAATTCCATCTCTTGCCTTGCAGGATCTGGAGCAGAAGATGAAAGTGGTGGAGAATCTCCAGGATGACTTTGATTTTAACTACAAGACTTTGAAAAGCCAAGGAGGTAATAAAGTTCATTAACATCTGGCAAGCCAAAGTGTGTTCCTGCAAGGAAACATGCTGGAGGGAGTGTTTCAGCCCTCTCAGTCCTCCTCTCCAAGCCTGAGGGGTGGGTTAGTCTTAAGGCATTTGCATGGAAATTGTAGAAAGTGACAGAAACAAAAAACAAGCTGACAGGGCCTGAAGGGAAGCTGAACCAGAGCTTTGCCTGTGAAAGGAGAATGGCATGCAAAGGTGATAGTGCTGCTGCGTATGCAGAAATGCCAGAAAGGTGCTTGGAGGCAGTGCTGACAGCCTGTGTGAGATCACTGCTTAACTATTGATGACTTTCTAGAATTTCTTGCTCCTTTCTAGTCAACTTTGTGGTCTCCAGTGTAATGTTTGGGACGGTAAGAGGAGTACACTTGTTTGGCTGAAACCCTGTGTCCTCTTTGCACAGACATGCAGGATCTGAATGGAAACAATCAGTCAGTGACGCGTCAGAAAATGCAGCAGCTGGAACAGATGCTCACAGCACTGGACCAGATGCGAAGGGTATGTCATGCTACTGGCCTTCCAGATCCCTCTGGGGTGTAGGTGTGCTCTTATTCTGGGATATGGATTTGATAGTCGTGCATGGGTAGAATTATTAGAGTAACACTGGCAATACAGCAGTGGGCAGCTCCATTTCTTACGAACATGAAACTTACGGGTCTTGGAGGCGTCAGAGTGCTGAAGGTCCTGCTTTCTGGTTTGGCAGGGTATCGTGAGTGAGCTGGCAGGGCTGCTGTCAGCCATGGAGTATGTGCAGAAGATGCTGGCAGATGAGGAGCTGGCAGACTGGAAGAGACGGCAACAAATTGCCTGCATTGGTGGCCCACCAAATATCTGCTTAGACCGGCTTGAGAACTGGTAAGACTGCATCGGTCCCTGGAGAGGCAGCAATCAAACAGCAAAAATTAGTTCTCTGTCTTTGGTGACATTCTTGCAAAATGGCCACTGATGCCTGCAGTTGTAAATGTAATCTGGCAGCCACACCTATGTCTGGTAGTGGACAATAATGCTGGATTCATTAGCTCCAGGTTTGTGAGATTGTAAGGCTGATGGCTTACATGGCTGTTCCTGAGCTCTTGGTTGGTATGACTGCAGAACTTTGGCTCACACAGGTTTCATTCATGGTGTGTGGCCTAGAAAAATGTGCTGAACTGGGAACTGTGGGCTTATTCTGTTCTCTGCTGGTTTGGTACAGCAATTGTCCTCTCTTGCAGAAGCGAGGGGAGGAGGAGGGCTCTGTGGGCTGGGTCTGTGCAGGACTTAGCAGCCAGAGCTAATGCTGGTTCTTCCTACTCCCTAGGATAACCTCTCTTGCTGAATCACAGCTACAGACCCGGCAGCAGATCAAGAAACTGGAAGAGCTGCAGCAGAAGGTGTCCTACAAGGGTGACCCAATTGTCCAACACCGGCCAATGCTGGAGGAGCGGATCGTGGAGCTGTTCAGGAACCTGATGAAAAGGTGCCGAGGGTTCTGAGGGAGCTGTGCACTATTCCTTGGTTATGGGCATGAAGGGGTGAGCACTGTGTGCTGGGATGGGGCTGAGGTTTGACTGCATTTCTTTTATCTTCTCCTATAGTGCTTTTGTGGTGGAGAGGCAGCCCTGCATGCCCATGCATCCTGACCGGCCTCTGGTCATCAAAACCGGTGTGCAGTTCACCACCAAAGTCAGGTGGGTCTCTGGCCCCTGCGGTTCCTCTGTGCAGGGAAGGAAGCCGTGCAGGGTGAATGCAGTGTCTGTCTCCAAGGAGGTGCTGGTTCAGATGCGGCCTTCAGTTTGCCCAGGGAGTGCTGGTGCTGGGAAGGAGTGGCTCCCTGCAGGCTGGCCCTGCTGGAGTGTAGCCTGGGTGACTCAGTGTGGAGATGGTGATTGTTGGCTGGGGCTCTATTGTATTCCTGGAGACAGCTGGGGTTCTGGTAAATCCCACTGTGGGGGCAGACGACAGGAAGTGTCAGTGTGTCCCTGCCAGAAGCCTGTCTTCTGGCCTGTGTTCTTCACCAGCTTCTGCAGAAACTGTTGCTCTGACACAAGGCTCTGCCTACAGCTTCATTACCATCTCACAGCTGTGCCCCAGTTGCTTCCTTGGCAGAAGAAACGCAGGTGGTTTAGAGCAGTCTACCTGGAGTGGCAGTCAGTGGCCAAAACAAACTACTTATGGGGCTTGGGAGAACCATAGGTTCATGGCAGTGTGCTGCATGCCAAGGGAGTTGGGTTGTGCTGTGTCCTGGTGGGGTTTTTGTGTGAATGATGTTGCCTGCTGTGGGATGTGCACAGCACTGCTGTGCATCCTGCTCTTCTGTGCTGTGTTTATCTCAAGTTGTTCACATGTTGTGATGCTGATGCTGACAGTGTCTGCTGTCTTTTTTCAGATTGTTGGTGAAGTTCCCGGAGCTGAACTATCAGCTGAAAATCAAAGTCTGCATTGACAAGTGAGTCCTGTGCTGTGATCCTGGAGGTGCTAGGTGTGTTTACTACAGTCAGACTTGCTCCTGCTGCTCCTGAGTGGGGCTGCAGCCCTGCACTGAGGGCCAGTGTGACCTTAAAGGAGAGAGTATAGGGCGGTGGTGGGTTCCCAGGGTTCATTCATAGGCTGGAGGGCCTCGTGGGACTTGATGCAAACCCCACTCACACAGCCATGGCTGTGACTGTTTTTTCTCTTTCCTTTCCTAGGGACTCTGGTGATGTTGCAGCACTTCGGGGGTAAGTGCAATGGTTTCTTTTTTTTCTTTCCTTTTTTTTTCTTTCACTTCTGCTTTTAATGTTGGCAAATGTTCTACTATGCATTTGTTTCAAGAGGCCATCAGCCATGCTGTACCTTTTCTCTTTTTAGGTCCCGGAAGTTTAACATCCTGGGGACAAACACCAAGGTCATGAACATGGAGGAGTCGAATAACGGCAGCCTTTCAGCAGAGTTCAAGCACCTGGTAGGTACCACGAGGCCTCAGGCTGCTCCTGCTGAGGTGACGTGACACGGTGTTGCTTTAGCACGTTCCTTCCCTTTGCAGACGCTGCGGGAACAGCGGTGTGGTAATGGAGGCAGAGCCAACTGCGATGTAAGTGGGGAGGGGACCCTGGCTGGGAGAGCCCTTTACTGGCAGCTGTACTCAGGGCAACTGTAGCAGTCTGGGTATCCCGTTCCCCACCAGGCAGCTGAGCCACAGGGGAAGCAGGAATTGCTCTCACTGGGGTGGCCGTCTGACATGGGGCAGCTGCCAGCTCAGCTCTCCCTGCCCAATCTGAGAGTGCTGTGTCAGGCTGAAGGCAGATGTCTGCTGTGGGCTCACTGTGTTCTGTTCCACTCCCAGGCCTCACTGATTGTGACTGAGGAGCTGCATCTCATCACCTTTGAGACTGAGGTGTACCACCAGGGGCTGAAGATCGATCTGGAGGTGAGCAGGGGCTTAGCTGCTGTGCTGCTGTGGGCTCTGCCTTGCTGCAGAGGAGCAGCTCTGGGAGGCAGATCTGCTGTGCCTGAGTTGCATCCTGCTCTGTGCTGGATATGTCTGCCCTTCTATGCTGGGGAAGTCACTGGGAGGGAGCATGAAACTCAGGTTGTGGGTTGCAGTGGAGTGTGCTGCAGGGTGGGAGAGGCTTTGGTTAGATGTGCTATCAGCCATTGCTGTGTGGCTGCACCCTTCCTCGGGCCTTCGTGACACAGAGAAATGAGGGGGAGACCCTCCTGACAGCTGGGGCTGCTGTCCTGTCGGGCAGTGCAGGATTTGGTGACAAGTCTCAGACTTCAGTCATGTCCTATCTTTGCAGACCCACTCACTGCCAGTGGTTGTCATCTCAAACATCTGCCAGATGCCTAATGCCTGGGCATCCATCCTGTGGTACAACATGCTGACCAACAACCCCAAGGTAGGGGCTGGATCCGTGGGGTGGCTTGTGAAGGAGTGAAGCTTTTTTTGGGTCAGGTATACTGGCAGGGAGGCAGAGAACTGCTCAGGCCCATCAGCAGGGCTGGAACAGGACCTGGCCCTGCTTCTGTCCCTTTTTCTGCTCAGGGCTGTGTTCTCTCTTGTACAGAACGTGAACTTCTTCACCAAGCCACCCATTGGGACGTGGGACCAGGTGGCAGAGGTGCTGAGCTGGCAGTTCTCCTCTACCACAAAGCGTGGTCTCAGCATTGAGCAGCTGACAACCCTGGCAGAAAAACTTCTAGGTAACTCGGCACTGGTGTCCTGTTTATCCCTCCACCCCTCATGTGAGATTGCAGTATTTGGGAAGGAAACTGTCATTTTTAGTGGCTTGATTTTCCTCCAAGCACCACAAACCTGTGGTTGCTCCCTGAAACCTGTGTCTTTGGAGGAACAGTCATATTCACATGTTGACAGTCCTGTTCTCTGTCAGGGCCAGGTGTGAACTATTCTGGCTGTCAGATCACCTGGGCCAAGTTCTGCAAGGTATAGTTCCTTCTCTTCATCCGAGTGCCTCCCCTTGGCTGTTCTCCACTCTAGTCATATTCACAGCCCCTCTGTTCTCTTCCTCAGGAGAACATGGCTGGCAAAGGCTTCTCCTTCTGGGTCTGGCTGGACAACATAATTGACTTGGTGAAGAAATATATCCTGGCGCTGTGGAATGAAGGGTGAGTCAGCTATTGTCAGTTTTGGTTGGGGACTCACAAGTCCTATCCTGATGGAGGCAGTACCTTGTCCCAGCAGTACCTAGCTCTTCTGGAATGCTTTTTCTGTCCAGGCCCTGTTGAAAACACTTGAGACTCCCCAGACAATCCCCAAAACATTGGTGGCTTTGCAGTGGCCAGCCCTGGTCCTGCTGCTGCCTGTCAGTGTACAGACAACTGGCAGGATTCATGCTCTGGAATACCTGCCCCCGTGTCTTGACCCAGCCTTGCTCCCTGCACCCAGGTACATCATGGGGTTCATCAGCAAGGAGCGGGAGCGAGCCATCCTGAGCACCAAGCCTCCAGGAACCTTCCTGCTGCGCTTCAGCGAGAGCAGCAAGGAGGGTGGCATCACCTTCACGTGGGTGGAGAAGGACATCAGTGGTACGTTGCTCTCCACCACTGCCCTGGGTGTGCTGTCTTGCTCAGCCAGCCTTTCTGGCTCCAAAGTGGGATTTGGACCATGGCTTCATCCCCCTAATGAGACATTATTCACAAGGGTGGTTGTCATGATGGCCCCTGTCTCTGGTTAAGTCTTTGAGCCCAGGCACCTTTTGCTGGTCCCCGCATCCTGAGTCCTCCCATCCATGTGCACTGAAGCAGGTCTGTCCTGCCATGTGCTCTGCTGGGTGCCCCATGAGGTTGAGCACAACCCTAGGTGACTCTGTCCCATCTGTGCCGCCCCTGGGAGCTTGAGAAAAGTCCGTGCCTTTGCCCTAGGACTGCAGGTGTCTTGCCCTGTGTCTAAAACAGTCTCATACAGGAAAGACTCAGATCCAGTCTGTGGAACCTTACACCAAACAGCAGCTGAACAGCATGTCATTTGCGGAAATCATCATGGGCTACAAAATCATGGATGCCACCAACATTCTGGTGTCTCCCCTGGTGTATCTGTACCCGGACATCCCGAAAGAGGAGGCATTTGGGAAGTACTGCCGCTCTGAGAGCCAGGAACACTCAGAAGCTACTGACTCAGGTAGTCGTTGATTTTCTGCGTCCCAGCACTGCTCCTGCCTGTGGAGTGGCTGCAGGAACAGCACCCTGGTGGAAAACTGCACCCATTAGGGGATCCCATGTTGGTCGTAGGGTGGCGTGGGGACCCTGTGGGTGTGAGCAGTGCACAAGGGCTGTCTGCGGGGCTGTGAGGAGGGGAGCAGGGTTTGTCCTCCTGCAGGTGGTGACCAGGCTCCTCTCTCATTCAGGTGCTGCTCCATACCTGAAGACAAAGTTCATCTGTGTCACCCCGTAAGTGTTTCTGGAGGTATCTGTGAGCTCAGGGGTACATTCACATGCTCAGCCTTGCCACGACTGCTTTGGGTGCCATAAGACTCCTCGTCAGCACGGGGGGGACTGCAGTGGAGCTGAGCCAGGTGGCAGTGTGCTGCCCACACTGCTGGGCTGCTCTCCCCTCCGGGGCCCCTTTGCCTTCCAGGGAGCTCCCAGCTGGCTGCACTGTGCCCTGGGGCCCGCTGGAGGGGCAGGAGGTGTCTGCTCTGTCCAGGCCCTGATGCTTTTCCCTCCTTCTGACAGCACCTCCTTCAGCAATACCATTGACCTGCCCATGTCCCCACGCACTCTGGACTCGCTCATGCAGTTTGGCAACAGTAGCGAGGGAGCAGAGGCCAACGCAGGAGGGCAGTTTGGTGAGTCTGGTGAGACCCAGCGCCCGAGGGTGTCCTGGTGATAGCAGGAACTCGTGGGTCAGGGTGCAGCCCCTGTAACTCCTGCCTGCATTTCGCACAGAGTCTCTGACCTTCGACATGGAGCTGACCCAGGAGTGTGCTTCTTCACCGATGTGACGCGCTGTGCTGGCGCCTGCAGGACCTGCGTGGCTCCAAATCAATCTCAGTCACATTTGCTCTGGGCCTTTTCTCGGGAGGAGCTGGGGGCTGTGATCCTTGCCACTGATTCCTTGTTTTACCCAAACAAACAGGCACCTCACTGCTGCGGTGCTGTTTGCCTCTCTGGTAGAAAGGGGTTGAACCTTCTTCTATTTCCTTCCATAACAGTTTTTTATTATTGTTTTGCTCATTCAAGTGCCTATTAGCCTCCGATTGCAGCCTCACTTTTTACAAATGCTTCTGCAGTCCCTATTGTGCTGCCTGCTGTTGAAAGCTGCTTTCTTGACTGCCAGTGTCTGGAAGCCCACAGTCCCATGAGCCTGGGTCTGAAAGGGCATCAGCCAGACCCAGTCTCCTTCGGGTGATCTGCTGTGCCGTGCAGCAGCTGCCCAGCAGCTCTCAGAACCTGCAGAGGGATCTCATCTCTGTTTTTCCTTCGCCCCACTTGTGGCCCAGAGGGCAGTGAATGACACTGTGCTGCAGGGTGCAGGAGCCCATGGGTGGTGTGGAGGGCTTTGCTGTGCTCTGCCAGGAGCAGGGAGATGCAGTGCTTACTGCTGCCTTCCTGCTGTGGGCAGAGGCAGGGCCAGATCCAGCAGCCCTGGGCACTGCTGCTTTCTCTGTGCTGCAGGGTCCTGGGGAAGGGCAGGGAAGCATCCTAGCAGCAGTGTGTGCTTGTGAACACACAGCATCTGCATCTTCAGTCCTTTTTAGGACCAGGAGGCTGCTCCTGCCCCCAGCTGGCCCTTGGCCAGACTCATGACAGGAGCACAACTGTTTTCCCTGTGCAGAGTGAGACCCTTCAGACAGGGGAGCAGGGGCTGCTGCTGTCCAATATGCCCTGCAGTGGGTGACCGGGCTCTCTGGTACAGCATATGATGTCCCAGGTAGTGGGTTTGCAGCTTCTCAGGGGCTTTGTGTGGCACTTTGTTGGAGGTTGGCAATCACTGTTAAGTTAGGAGGTGGCAAGGGTTGAAGAAAGGATGGGCAAAGGGAGAGGAATCTGCTGGGGGGCAGCAGCAGCAGCCATGGGTGTGTTGGTGTGGCAGGCAGTGAGGCTGCTTGTGCTGGAGGTCAGGGAAGGTTGTTCTGTATTTACCCAAGTGTAGGGAGCCCTCCTGTCCTTTCCAGGCATGGGCTTTGGTTCCATCCCTGAGCAAAGATGTGAGGGAGCGGCAGTGTGAGAGTCGCGTGCTTCCCCAGAGCAGCAGGATGCCCCATGCAGTAAGGTGGGGGTATGGAGCAGCATGGGGCAGGGCTGTGGGACACAGCAGCCGTGGGTAATACCAGCAGAGAAACTTCTGGGCACCAGCACAGGGCTGTGATAGTGTTGGTGCTCTGGCTGCAGATGCTCTGTTGTCTGTACCCGTAGCAATGCTGTGGTGCAGGGGGGGACCCTGTCCAGCATCTTCAGTGCGTGGTTCCAGTTTTTCTACCCAGAAATGACACTGGGATGCACAGGCAGCCCTCCTGCACTTGTGGACAGCATTGCTCCAAGTCCATCAGCTGTGCAGGAAGCTGGGGCAGTGCCAAAAACAGCACCCACCTGTGCCCCCTCACTGCGGGGAGGGGACTGCGGCCCCTGGGCAGCACCAGACACGGTGTGAGGGCAGGACAGAGATCACGGGGCTGCCCATGGGCACAGGGCAGTGGCCCTTTGCAGTTAGTAGGTGCTCAGAGGGAATAAAGCCTGTTGCTCGTCCCTGTGCTGGCGTGTCGCTGCCATCAACGGAGCCCCTGGCCCACATTCAAAACTGTAAAAAATTTTTATTTTTTTGTATATTTTATTGCTGTATCTACAGGCTTCGACTTTCTCCAAAATAAAGGCTCTGAAGCAGCCCTGTCTCCCATGCATCTCCCTCAGCTCTGGGACCCGACCCCTCTGTGAGCGCCGTGCTTTGCGGTTCGCGTGGGCAGCTGTGAGCGCGGGGCAAAGGCAGCGCCCGGCTCCGCTCTGCTTGCGTCAAGGAAACCTCGGGTGTCGGCGTGGGAGGCCACTGATGGGGACCCTCTGGGGTGCGTGCTGGGGATGAGGTGATGGCAGCCAGCCTGGGGCTCTGGCGGGGCACTTGGGCAGCATCGCAGGATGGGTGCTGCTCTCTGAAGGGGGGGCTCGGGGTGGAGGGGACATCCCCCACTGCACCTCTGTGTGCCCGCAGGGCTGGCTGCCTTGGGGCTGTGCAGGGCTACGGCTGCAGCATGGGCCTGCCCTGCCCTCTCGTGGGGATGTGCTGGAGCTGGCAGTGAGTGCTGCTGCACCAAATGCAGCCCAGGTTGCAGCCCAAGCCCAGCCCCAGCTCGGCATCACTGCAGCTCCTCAGGCTTTGCAGGAGTGGGGTTGTGCACTGCAGGAGCAGGATGGGGAGACAACCGCCACTATTGCAGCCCACTGTGCCTCCAGGGCCATGAGCCCTACCTGCAGCCCCCTGCTCTCCCTTCTGAGACCTGCTTGGGATTTTGCTTGGACCTTTATGACCCGGTGTGGGGGAGCAGCTGCCCTGCCCCATCTAATCCAAGATGGGGTCTGGGCTGTGGGACCAGGGCTAAGGACCTGGGGATAATGGTACCTCCAGGTGCCAGCAGCAGACAGACAATGACAGATGTACCACCACTTGTATTCCCACCACCTGTGGCCTTCAGTGAAGCAGAGGTGGATGCAGCAGCAGAATGAATGTGGAGTTGGGTCTCAGGCGAGGCCCAGAGGGAGAGATTATTGCTCTGTGAGGATTAGCAGGGGATTTTTCATGCAGTAAATCCCCCAATCCCCTCTGGGCTACTTCAAGATGCTGGAGATGCCCTTAGTGCCTGTGTGCTCCCTGCTCTGCTCTCGGCACATTGCTGAGGTGGGCACTGTTCCCTGAGAGCCCCCACCCATGCTTCACTGTGCAGCTCTGGGGTTTGGTGGGATGGAGCCCCAGATTCCACCCCGAGGCTCATGCAGCCCCCCGGGGCCCAGCCCTGCTCCTTCCCTGATGGTTCCCAGCTGCAGGACAGGGTGGAAAACCCTAGAAGAAGGATTTTTCTCACTGATATGCAAACCCTGAGTTTGCCACAACCGTTGGGTGTCAGGGACGCGCTGTCCCTTCCCACACTCCTGCAGATAAGTGGTTTCTTATCTCCATGTGCCCACATGCCCTGCTGCATCCCTGCCTGAACCTGCTCTGTGCTTGTTTAGCCGGAGGGCCCGGTCCCTTGAGTAACTTGGGTTAATTGGCCGCCAATCTGATCTCAATTGTTGCTATTGTGAATGCTCCAGTTGGCAGCCAGTTGGCTGCTCTGCAGCAGAAAGCATCAGCTGAGGCTGCGTGCTCTGCCTCAGTGGGCACGCTGTGCATCGTGTGCAATGCTGCTGCATGGGACTGCATCTGAGGAAAGTTGCAGGAAAGGCACTTCTGTCAACACAGAGAAACCACGCAACGTGAGGTCTGGCAGGGCTTCTTGCAGCCCAGGGTTTGGATTTGCGGGGCACCCAACACACCCCAGCTTGGAGGGGGCTTTTCTCCCCTTGGTCCCCAACGCTATCCTGGTGACGATGTCCTCATCCTGCTGCCCCAAGGAGCCCGGGGGGGGGGAGATGTGGGGCATGGGGTTGTTTGCAGCTCAGAAAGGAGGTCGCTTCCTTCCAGCCCCTGGCCCCACAGCGGGGAGGGAGCGGGGATGGCGTCTGGGTCAAACATGCGGCCGGATTAGGGGCTTCCAAATGCGGATAAGCTGCTTGGGATGCAGTCGCTCGCGTGACAGGGTTGGGGCAGCCCCGAGGGGATGGGTGGCCACCTGCCAGGGCAGCCTGCGTGGGCACAGCTGTGCTCCCTGTCAAGCCCCACATGAGTCCCACATGATTGGGACCAAGGCTTGGGGTGCAGCCACTGCCCATAGCCACACTCTCCCCCTGTTCCCAGCCCCGCTGTGGCTGTCCAGGCCTGCAGGCAGCACCACGTGGCGAGTATGTTGGGGGTGATAGATGCTGTGGGAGGACAGCACGTGCCCTCCCCTCGCCCCAGGAGTTTATGTGCCAGGCCAAGCTGCTGGGGAGTGGAGGGGACTGGGGCCCAAGAACAGCAGCACCTGAGCACCGCAGCCCCCCCAGTCTGAACATTCACAGCACTGGGTGCTGAGCTGCTTGGGGTGCTGTCAGCAGCTGCACCATGGCCTCTGCTGCGAGCACGGAGCGCCCAAAGGGCATCTGCCGGGAGCTGGGCCGTGCACCTCTGCTCCCTGACTGCTGTTGCAATGACCCCGCCGGCTCCAATGAGGCAGGAAAACCACACGCCGCCCCACGGAGCTCCTGCACCTCTACCAACAGAGCCGCTCCCACGCTGCCCTCCAGGAGCTGCCCCCAGCCTGGTACGCGCGGGGTCACACAGCTGCACGCGGCGGCTATTTGGGTTTCCAAAACACTGCAGTTTCAGGTTGCACAGCCAGAGCAGCTCCCCCAGTGCCACGCTCCCACCTGGCACGCAGGCTGCATGCACAGTGCAGGAGCATTGAGCCTGGCTCTGTCCCTGGGCTGCAAGGGATTTGGTGTTTGGCCCCAGCCTGGCTCCCCTCATGCTCCTGCACCTTCCCCCCTCCCTGAGCCTTGGGCATCCCATGCTCACACAGAGCCTGCAGCCCTGCAGAGCGCAGCGAGTTGCTATTTCTGGGTGAGCAGAGTGCTCTGTACCTGGTGGTTTGTGCAGGGAGAGGGGCTCTGCAGTCTCCTCCATCCTTTTTCTGCCAAGCCATGTGCTGCCATGGAGTGAGGCAGTGAGCACCAGGACGCTGCTGCAGACATCCATCTGATCTCCATTCTCACCAACAGCTCCAAGCACGAGGGCAACTTCATGCAGCCCTTGCTGCCCAAGTTGAACGCTATCCCTGCTTCCCAAACCTCATAAAACAAAAGACAAACATTGCATCACACTCAAACTTTAATACGCAGCCGAGCAGAGCCAAGCAAGGTCCCAGTGGTGATTCCTGCTGCCAGGTGTGGCAGAGGTCAGAGCCGGCGGCTCCAGCACTGCGCGGTCCCCGCACCCCGCTGTGTGCAGCCATCTCTCAGCACTGCTGCCTGCGTGCGGCTCTGAGCTGCACCCAGTGCTTCACCCACCCAGATCCATGGCAGCCCCAGCTCCTGGAGTGGAAGCCGGCCCCATAGGCTGTGCCCCATCCCTGACCCACCCAGGTGAGGATGAAGAGCAGCAGGCTTTCCCTCAGCGCTGCCCAGTTCCTTCTCCAGCATCACCCATAGCTCTGGGGCTACTCTCACTTTCGGGTTCCCACTTTCGCTGCCTCCCTCGGCTCTGGTTCCCGTTCCTGCAGCCTTACCCTGCTGCTGGGCCCACATCTGGCGCTGATTCCCCCCAACAACATGGGAGTCCGCTCCAGGCTGGGGCAGCCATGCTGACCCGTACTGACCTGCAGTGGCCACGTGTTTATGGCAAGAGCCAGTCTAGTCTGTTTCTGTGGCAACGTGAGCATGTGGGGATGCACAGCAGCACCAATGTGGAGTGGGGGCTGGGGGCTCTGACTCCTGGAGCTGCTGCTGCCTCCGGTGCCGGGGGGGGGAGGGAGGGGAGGGTGAGACCCCTGTGTGCACAGCATGTGCCAGGCTGGGAGCTGCAGCTCGCAGTGCAGCCCCAGCTGGCTGTTATTTCCCCGTATTTTGCAGTACGCAGAAATGGCTGTTTGTTCCCCTTTGGATGAATGATGTGAGTGAACAAAAGCTCAGCCTGGGCACCAACACTGCCTGGCTGCTGAGACCCAGCACGTGCTGGGGCTGCTTTCAGCCATATCTAAATGGATGGAAGAAGAAATATCCTGTGGAAATTCCCCCCTGGACTGAATGCCATTCCTGTTCTTCCATGACAGCTCCTCCTTGCTTCCCGTTGGCACGAGGGATGGTGCTGCAGCCACAGGTTCCATGCACACCTGGTGCCCTGCACGCCAGCACCACGATCCCCACCCCACCTCCAGCTCTCCATGAGCAGCTCACCATCTCCTTCTCCAGCCCCAGCATCCTGTATCCAAACAGCTCTTCCTGCACCTCTCCATTCATGGTGCTCTGCAGGGAGCAGCTCCTGGGGCGGCTGCAGCAGCACTGACCTGTGCGACCCCAGAGCTGACCCTGCTGTGTCACACCCTGCTCCCCTGGGATGGCTGTGCTGGGGCCCCAGTGCTGTGCACAGCAGCCACCCCGGATTTGGCAGCACTGTGTGTATCCCCTGATCCCCAGAGGACGATTTATGGACCATTTTAGTTAAATCTAAGAGCTGTTTTGCTGCCCAGAACATGCCGTTCTTGGGCACCTTCCTGCAGGGCGGGCAGCAGCATTCCAAGGAGCTGTGCTCGGCACACTCGGTGCCTCGCCTGCAGGTTGAGTTACCCCCTCCGTGCCCACTCTGTGCCCAGCTATGGCCAGATCCCCCCTGCTCTGCAGCCGGGAAATCGTTACTGAGCTCTGATGTGGGGCAGGTGGGAAGAACCTCACAGCATGACTGAGTCAGCGCTGCAGGAAATGGCCCCTTCCCAACTGCGTGAGCAGAGAAGGACTGAAAAAAAAAAACAAAGCAACCCAGAGGCTGTGCCTGGTGCTCCGGGGCACCGGAGACCTTTAGGCTGGGCTCTGGGCACATGGGCTGGGCTGCAGGGAGGGGGCTGCTAGCGTAGGGTGGCACCGGGTCCGGCTGTGCCATGTGGAGCTCTGGGAGGCATCAGCTGTGACTCAGGGCTGGGTGATGGGGATGGTGTTGGCAGGAGAACCAAGAGCAGTTCAGTGCTGGGAAATGGCCCGGCATGGGAAACGCCTGAGGGGCATGGGGGGTCTGCCCACAGGTGGGTGCAGCTGAAGCAGCAGTGCTCA